TAACTGCGTCTTCCTTAAGGAAGACATCTGAAAGTTTCAATATGAAAGGCAGTATATGTATTCATGAATTCAAGAAGAGGCAGGTGACTTCTCTATTGGAGAACATATCTTCATAATTATTCTTGGCACATGAAAAGTGCAACAATTTGAGAACATTTTTGGATATGTTTAACCATGTACTTATTAAACATAATGGAAATACATACAATTATTATAGTCATTAAAAAACGAGCAAGGTCGTAATTGCACTCATTCCCTCATAAGGGGTTCTCTGAATAAATGCATGCTCAAGGTAATTAATCTGTACTAGAACTTCATTCATTTACACATATGCATTGATAATTTTTAAAAGAGAACTTTATAGAAATGTTTAGTCCATTTAAAATGCTCATTCATTTATATATCACCTCTTTCAATTAGGTAATGCAGTCAGTCATACAACTTAGAATAAGATCACTAAACAAAACAAGAATTAAATTAAACAATATCATCATCCAAGGATCCTGATATGTTGCTGAGATGAAAATCCCAAGAATTTTCTTCACATCAAATGTTTCAGGGGAAGACAACAGATATTCCCAGAAACAGATATTCCTGGGTGTCTATAGAGTTCCTAGGACTAAGTACTTTTGAAGAAGTATCATTTTATCTAAGCTTCCAAAGAATGGTAATAAGCTGACCACGTACCACAGATAAAACTATGATTATTGTTAACATTTAATCACTAGATAAACTGAATGACAGTCTTACTATTGTTCACACACAGATGAAATAAACTGTAATAAACCATACACAGCTCTTAAATGTGATATCATATTTTACATTACTTAAGATAGCTAAGAATATAGTCAAATATTTTTCACACTATATAGAGGATATTACTTGTTCATTTGAATTCAAATATGGTTGTAGAAGAACTTTCAGGTTCCTGAGTTGTAAGAAAGTTGAACTTTTAACAGCTCTGACAGTAAAGGTTATAACTTAATATATAGGTAGCTTCTTGTACTTGAGCACTGGTAACTAGTGTGTATCTGTAGGCACGTGTGCTAAGCTGCTTCAGTCGTGTCCGGCTCTGTGGGACCCTATGGACTGGAGCCCTCCAGGCTCCTCTGTCCATGGGATTCTCCAGGCAAGAATACTGGAGTGGGTTGCCATGCCCTCCTCCAGGGGATCATCGTACTGACACGGGGATAAAACTGTGTCTCTTACGTCTCCTACATTGGCAGGTAGGTTCTTCACAGCTAGCGCCAACTATGAAGCCCATGTATCTACATATTTATGCATAAATATATGCAGGCATGTGCGGGCATGTGTGTGTGTGTGTATGCATCTGTGATTTTTAAAGTCATCATTCAAGCTTATTATATATTTGGAATATGGTGGGAGATAAATATACTAAAATGTGGAAGTTAGAATATTTTCTAAAGTTGGAGACTTTTACCAATACGCACTATGTGATGCTCTGTCATTTTTTTCTCTAATCTATTCCTCTATTTAAAGTAACGTAAACTCTCTCAAATCAATTATTCACATCTTAATTAGGATAAAAAGCAAGTAGCTATTTCTTCATGCCAAGTCACCAAAAAGAACAGAGGTGCAACAGATTAGACATTTTCATGTTTTCACTTTGATGATAGGAACTGAATTTCACTCTAGGATTTTTAGTTTACTGATCTGTGAAAAATGTTTAGGGGTAAAATGCTTTATTTATTTCTCAAGTATCCCATTAAGTATTTATTACAAGAGTTCTATGTAATGATTCAATGTTTTCTAAATGAAATCTTTTGAAATAAAAATGTATATAAATATAAGCACCCCCTTTTTGCTGTCAGTTTAATATATCATGTGTTCAGATTCTACAGATATGTCATTTTAATATGACAAATTATACAACTACTTTAAATTTATAACTGAAGAATTATATCTATAAAACATTGAAATGTTAAATTCATACTACCCAGGCAAATTTATATCAGAACTATCAAAGAAAGAAACTCTTATTACATCAAAAAGGAATTGTGGCTATTCTCCATTCTAAACAAAGTTACAAAATAATCTTATTCAATGATTCTGTTATGTGCTACTTTCAAACAGCTCTACTAAAACAGGAAAACATGGATTAAAATAGGAAAGACAGATTAAGAAAATAAGAACCAATATTTAAATTATTGTAGAACTAAGTGAAAATGAGTTAAATACCCCAATCCACAGTCCCAGATAAGCTGAGTTTTTAGTGAGTAGAAATAACTAAATTATTAACACAGAGGTCAATTTGAGACCATTCTGGGCATTAAATTTGAAAAACATACCTTCTGAGTAGCTATGTTTTAATAAAAAATAAATGATTGTATACCATAGATCTGTGAGTTTGCTGATGATAAATACTTATAAATACTCATTACATATGCTGATGAAAAAAATCAATAAACTTCTGCTAACTTGAAAGTAACTGAAAGTAAAAAAAGATGTGTAACCTGTTTTCACCTTTATGCTTCACAACTCATTAATGAAGAAGGCATATATAAACTCATCTGGACCAGGAAACTGTTACTTAAGTTCTCAAGGGTCTAGGGTCCAGAAGATAGTGACCTATTTCAATTTAAGGAGAAAGATTAAATGTTATGCAAGGTGAAGGAAATTCTGACTTGTCTCAACAACCTGCCAGTGACAGAGAATGAATAAACACCAGTTTTCACGTATGCTCATCTCATGTGAGAAACTTTTCAAACCTTGAAATAATCATTCGAATCCCATAGTAAGATGCAAAAGAAGACAAAATATATCAGGTTTAGGAAATACACAAACTAATTCAGATATTTTTAAATGATGCAAATGTAATTTAAGAATAGTCAAACGTGTAAACTGTAAACATTGGAGAGAACAGTCCAGTGAGTCAAAATATGACACCTAGGTAAAAGTAAACAAATCAGTATTTTCGTGAAAATCAGCTCAATAATAAATAATGTCATGTAGGTGTGAGCTCAGGTCAGCAGGAGAGCCGTGTGGATTATGGGCTATTTTCTTACATCCACATTCATATGCCTGGTCCCTATGGGGTCATTCAGGCTCCTAGGAAAATGAATGAGCAAAGTGGGATGGGGGGTGTGGGGAGAGGAAGGACTCTTTTTGACCATATAACAGAAATTTTCTTTGCAAGCCCTTCAGATTTTGGAAGATTAACACTTCCATATTCTAACCAACTTAAATAGAACTAAACAATAAAAGAACTATGAAGTAATTCTCCCTTTATTCCTTGAGTGATTAAGGGACATACACCTAATGCACTATCCAGTTCAGACTTCTACAATCAGAGAGTTTGGGAAGACAGCCACAGAGCTTATCAAAGGGTGGAAAAAAAATAATACCTTTGAGGCAGATGGAACATTCTAGGTTTTCTAGATGAAATGAACTTAAAGAAAAGTTTGAAGGATTTAAGTCTGCTCTATGGAAGATTCTGACACCATGGGTTGTTAAATAATAAGGTGGTTTGCTGAGACTGCAGAAACTCTAGTCCTGAGAATCTTTAAAAACAGGAAGGATTCAGACCAACTGCTCAGAAACACTGAATATGGCTTTATTCAACTAAAGCTCTCCAAGACCCTTTTAACTCTATGAATTTAATTGTAAATGCCAGTATGAACAGTATATTCCATCTTACACTTTTGACTCAGTGCTAAATAGTTGCAGGGGGATTGCAATGACCTACTTTTTACAGTGCATGAAAGAAAATAGTTTGTCACAGTCAGGAGTCCTAGTGATATCTCTGGTACCTGCACTTTCTGATTTCAGATTTCTCATGCAAATCACACACTGTCTTTAATCACAGGTTTTTATAATATATTGCAGTTTTGAATAATTCATGCTAATGAAGAATTAAAAACCAATGGAAAGTACCAAAAAATAAAAATAAAAATCAGACAACTTCAGTTTTCCCTCTTTATATTATACATGAAGGTACTGGTTTTTCACATTAAAGTGGAAAAAAAAATGTTCTTCAAGTTTAGACCCTTAGTCACTTATTAATAATTCAACACTTTAAAAAGTAAATCATGACTTTTTTGAAAAACATTTGAATCCTTAAAAAATTCATCTATAGTATGTACTAAGAATGAACTAAAATATATACTGAAGCCATAAATTCTAATCAAAATCATTTAACAAAAAATACTAAAACAAATAGTAAACTAAATTGAATAGTTTACTAAATTAAGTAGCAGTCACTCAAATTTGCATATCAATCCATCTATACATAGTACAAAAACGACTAATTATTGCCACAAAGAACTCTTTGGCTTTTCTTAAAGTACCTGCATAGTGAAACATTATATTGCACCATATGGGCATCCAACACTTTTCCTTTGGCTAGAACTCTGATGCAAAAAGCTTCAAAGAGTTTATTTTCTTATAAAGTAAGTGCAGCATGGTTAAACTAATCCCAACTGATAATTTCACAAAGCCTGGCTATAAAGTGCCACTCAAACTTTCTATACTGCCCAAATCAGCAGATTCATAACTTGACACAACACTCAAGAGCTACTTTCACAAGCCCGCACTTCACTAAATTCGGTAAATAGTTGCATCCTAACCACTACAGATATTAATGACTGTTGAAAATACACATGTGAACCCACACCCCTCATGAGCAAGTCTCTCAACAAACTGCATAAACAGACACAATATACTTATGAGCAAGGTAGATACCCATCTCCCCTTCATTGTGCCAGGACAGCATTTCTATTTATATTAACTCTGATGGTGGTATGTGTGTGTGTGTGCGCGCGCGTGTGTGCAGGTTACCGGAGAGGGAGATCCATTCTTGCAGAGGGGCCCTCTGAAGACTCCTTTAATGCCCCGGTAGTGACCATTGCTGAGATGTCTCGAACTGATGACCAGGTAACAAGCCATGTGGGTTCCGGGCGGGAGGTGTAGTCTCAACTCCTCACCAGGCGACCAGCCTCGGAAATGCGGGCTGGTTTCTCAGCAGCAACAGTGACCGCCACCTCCCGAGACGAAGCGGCCAGCAGTAAGCAGGGGACGCTGCGGCCGCGCGTCCCGGCTCCTTGCCCCGCGCGGGGCTCCTGCTGTCAGCAGCAGCTGCTCTGACGGCGGCGGTGGCGGCAGCGGCAGCCACAGAGCACTTAGGGGACCCGGCGAGCCAGTCCACATGCTGCTCTGGCCAGGTGGCTGCTCAACCGCCGATCGACGATGTATATTTTTTAAGGACAACTTCCTGGGTCCGCTAGGGGATCAGCAACTCCTCCTCCCTTTCCCTCCCGCCCCCGCCTTCGCACTCCGTGCGCGCTCAGGGGATGCTCAGGCGCGGGTCCCCACGGTCTGGCCCGGGCGTCCGCGGCGGGGCTGTGTCTGCGGCGCCGCGAATCAGCAGCAGCGGCAGCCTTCGCGGGGACAGTGGCGGGGAGTCCTCGGAGCGCCAGACCGCTGCCCGCGCTGCAGTGGCGGGAAGCGGGTGGGGAGGGACGGGCGGGCTCGGGGGAGAACTGGGAGTTGGGGACGCGGAGACTTGTGAGTGGGGGGCTGTCAACGCGACCGCTGGGAGCCACCTGGGAGGCGGGGGCTCGCCAGCGGCTCGGCGCGGCGGTGACAGCTGCGGCGGCGGCAGGAGGCTCTCCCGGGTGCGGGAGGCGCCGCTCCAGCATCCCGCCGTCAGCCGCCCTGAGCCCCTGTCCGTCTCTGCCCTGTGTCTCTGGGCCAACTTTGTGCTGTGTTGGGGGCGGGGTCCTGCGGGGTGGGGCGCGGTGCGCGGTGGAGGACCTGAGCGGGAGGGGAGCCTTTTCTTTACTCTTCCCCGCCTGCTCGCCTTCAGCATTTCTTCCGCGCTCCGGCTGCCGGCCGCGCTGGCCAAAGCAACAGCTCCCCACCCGGCTGTAGGGATGTGCTACGCAGCCCCAAATAGGGCAGATTAGAGGCGCTATAGTAGGTAATGGATGGAGGAGGAAGTAAGTTTTAGATAGAAAACTTATATAAGGAATAGAAACGAAACACAGAGACGTGTGTCTCTTTCCATCTATTTATCTGTCTTCAGAGTTATAAACATGCACTTAACAAGTCTTTCTTGTTTCCTTAAAGAGGCAGATATTTTTGCTCTTTATAGGACGTTTGTTTCTTCACAAGCTTGAACAATCACCCTTAAAAAGTGTTTTGTTTTGTTGTTTGTTTTTTTAATGGACGTTATATCATTTAGGGCAAATAAAGTCACCAGGCAGGAAGCCGCACTGAGAATTAAAGACTCGTGCAGAAATGAGCTCTGGAAGGAGAAGGAGGCTCTTGTAGAGTCAGGTATCAGTACGCCCTCTCCCCCACCCTCTAGCTGATCTTCCGGAGTTAGGTGATCTCTCTTATCCTCCTCTGATCAGTGTTGGGAGAAAAGGAAAGGTCATCCGTTTTCCCTCTTTTGCCTTAGCACAGAATTAATCGCAAGATTAAGGCTAATGTACCCAGGCCTCCCCAGTTTTCTCCTCTTCTAACATAATCCCCATCTGCATCCTGGATAACATTGAAGACCTCTCAAAATTGGCCGGTAAAAAAGCAAGCAGGAAATTAAAATTCTCCCACTCTGGTAACTCATAAAACTCTTAAAAATAGTCCCATGAATATAACCTCTGTAACTGCCCAATAAAGGCTTGATTTTTGTTTACATTATTGCAGTATACTTAATGTTTTGTTAAGAAACACACAGATGTATTTCTCATTTTAAAGGTTTCATATAATATCTTTCAAGCGTTTTAAAAGTGTTTACATACTAGAAAGTGACTTAGTATATAATGTGAAAATACCAATTTCTTTCAAACTTCTAGTTGAAAATTACTGATAATAAGGTATTGCAATGTAAATCTTGCAGGTTAATTATTTTGTAACTATCTTGTTGGGAAGAACTTTTGAAACTAAAAAAAAATTACAGAAACAATAGATACAATATAAACACTTTTCCTTTTCTACTAAGATGTGTTTACTTAATAATGTTGTATTTATTTGACTTCGAGTTGTAAAATGTTTCCAAAGCTGAAAGTGAGTAATGCTGCTCATACATATACTTTCAGACATATTCTATGCAAAGAAAATGTGTTCATAAAGAGTGAAATTTCAAAATCAGGTGAAATCTTTGCCAGAAAAAAGGGGGGGATTTTAAAAGGAGATCGTGTGGCTCAGTCTATAATTACAGTCTCACTCTTCATAAACGTAAGTAGCAAACAGCATTCAGGACCTAACTGTATACATTCTTGAATGGAATAGAAAAATGAATGATGTCACATGCTATGAATAACAATTCCAAGGATGCTTTGCCTTCTTCATTAAGTAAATATGATTCCTAATAATACTTGATTTTTTTTTAAGAATTAGGCATGTTTTTCTAAAATGAAAGGATTGACTTAAGTAATGAAAAAGTATATAATTCAAATATACCATCCTATTATTATTATTTTTTATTCAAAGTACCCATTAGCTATCCTGACAGTCTTGTTCATTTAATTATTATGTGCATTTGAGTTTTCCCATAGGAAACAAAGTAATCTAACCCCTTTTTATAGTAAGTTTCAAAGACTGGAGTCATTTTTATAATTCTTTAAAAAATATTAATTTATTAAAAATTATTTACTTTTTGAGATCCTTCTTTGTTAGAAATGAATGATACCAATTCTGTTAATTTGCCATGTTTTTTAAAATCATTTAGGGCAGGCTTTCCTGGTATCTCAGAGGTAGAGAATCCACCTGCAATGCAGGTCTGCAGGTTCAATCCCTGAGTCAGGAAGATTCCCTGGAGGAGGAAATGGCAATACACTACAGTATATTCACCTAGGAAACCTCACGGGCAGAGGAACCTGGAGGGCTACAGGCCATAGGGGTCACAAGAGTCAGTCAGACACAACTCAGACTAAACCACCATCATGGTTGTTCTTGGCTTTCTAATTTTTTTGCCACCCATCTTAAAATATTTAGGCCAAAAAAAAAAAAAACTGACACAATTTATTCTCAGCCAATTTTAATAATAGTCTTTAAAACAAACAAATAATAGTCTTTAAAACAAATAGTCTTTAAATTTAATAATAGTCTTTAAAATAATAGTCTTTAAAAGAATAATTCCCTTTTCCTTGACAGATTGTGACTGATGTCTATTAGTGTGATGTCATCATATGCAACAATTCTCCATCACTCTTGGCCTCTACTTTAAATGTGTTTTGCCCAGTCTAAACAACAGAAATGTGTGCTTTTGTTTGCAGAGTTGCTATAAATACGAACTTGACCAGTAGCATTGACTTATCAAAGGAGATTCCTTCCAACTTCAGTAATTAAAAATTTTCAGAAAAGGTGAAAGAAAAGGAAAACACTTTAAGGCTATATTAAATGAATTATAGATACAAGTCAAATCCTATTACAAGTGTGAAAAGCAAACATCTTGCACAGTTTTACAAGGCCCTTTTATTAAAAGCAATATCTGATATGATAAATTCTCATTCTAAGGAAAGGGATATGAATGGCAAAATAGATTTCAGCCTATAACCAAATGATATTTCACATGATTCCAGGTTCATGGCTGTGTCATAGATGCTTGATATCATGAGAAACCCACTCTTTATCAACATATCCCAAATTGATCCCCTTATCTCCATATCCACAACCCCCACCTTAGCCCAAACCACCATTACTTTTTGCTTGAATCATTGCATTATCTTTTTAGCTAATCTCCTGTTTTCAATGTTGCCTCCATATAAAATTTATTCTTTGTATCTCACAGCCAGAGTGATATTTTAAAAACATAGAGCATATCTTAATCCATCCCTATTAAATTATCTGTTGGTTTCATATCATCAGGTTTATAGAAATATTGAGCAGAAAGTATAGAGAGCCCATATTTTTTTTCCCCCTTCCCCACACAGTTTTCCCTTTATCAATGTCTTGCTTTTGTGTGGTACATTTGTTACAATTGATGAGTCAGTATTAATACATGTTATTAACTAAAGGCCATAGTTTACATTAAGGTTCATTCTTGGAGTTGTATATTCTATGAGTTTTGAAAAAATATATAATGACATGTATCTATCACTATAGTTGCACGCAGAATAGTTTTACTGGTCTAAAAATCATCTGTGTTCCACCTATTCATCTCTCCTCCAATTCCTCTGAATCCCTATCGAACAGTAATCTTTTTACTGTGTCTTTTTTATGTCATTTGAAGAATGTCATATAGTTGGAATTGTATAATAGTTTTTCAGATTGGCTTCTTTATTTTTAATTTTTTATTTTTTCCATTTATTTTTATTAGTTGGAGGCTAATTACTTCACAACATTGCAGTGGGTTTTGTCATACATTGACATGAATCAGCCATGGAGTTACATGTATTCCCCATCCCGACCCCCCCTCCCACCTCCCTCTCCACCCGATTCCTCTGGGTCTTCCCAGTGCACCAGGCCCGAGCACTTGCCTCATGCATCCCACCTGGGATGGTGATCTGTTTTACTATAGATAATATACATGCTGTTCTCTCAAAACATCCCACCCTCGCCTTCTCCCACAGAGTCCAAAAGTCTGTTCTGTACATCTGTGTCTCTTTTTCTGTTTTGCATATAGGGTTATCATTACCATCTTTCTAAATTCCATATATATGTGTTAGTATGCTGTAATGGTCTTTATCTTTCTGGCTTACTTCACTCTGTATAATGGGCTCCAGTTTCATCCATCTCATTAGAACTGATTCAAATGAATTCTTTTTAATGGCTGAGTAATATTCCATGGTGTGTATGTACCACAGCTTCCTTATCCATTCGTCTGCTGATGGGCATCTAGGTTGCTTCCATGTCCTGGCTATATAAACAGTGCTGTGATGAACATTGGGCTGCATGTGTCTCTTTCAGATCTGGTTTCCTTGGTGTGTATGCCCAGAAGTGGTATTGCTGGGTCATATGGCAGTTCTATTTCCAGCTTTTTAAGAAATCTCCACACTGTTCTCCATAGTGGCTGTACTAGTTTGCATTCCCACCAACAGTGTAACAGGGTTCCCTTTTCTCCACACCCTCTCCAGCATTTATTGCTTCTAGACTTTTGGAAAGCAGCCATTCTGACTGGCGTGTAATGGTATCTCATTGTGGTTTTGATTTGCATTTCTCTGATAATGAGTGGTGTTGAGCATCTTTTCATGTGTTTGTTAGCCATCTGTATGTCTTCTTTGGAGAAATGTCTGTTTAGTTCTTTGGCCCATTTTTTGATTGGGTCATTTATTTTTCTGGAATTGAGCTTCAGGAGTTGCTTGTACATTTTTTAGATTAATCCTTTGTCTGTTGCTTCATTTGCTATTATTTTCTCCCAGTCTGAGGGCTGTCTTTTCACCTTACTTATAGTTTCCTTTGTTGTGCAAAAGCTTTTAAGTTTCATTAGGTCCCATTTGTTTATTTTTGCTTTTATTTCCAATATTCTGGGAGGTGGGTCATAGAGGATCCTGCTGTGATTTATGTCGGAGAGTGTTTTGCCTATGTTCTCCTCTAGGAGTTTTATAGTTTATGGTCTTTCATTTAGATCTTTAATCCATTTTGAGTTTATTTTTGTGTATGGTGTTAGAAAATGTTCTAGTTTCATTCTTTTACAAGTGGTTGAGCAGTTTTCCCAGCACCACTTGTTAAAGAGGTTGTCTTTTTTTCCATTGTATATCCTTGCCTCCTTTGTCAAAGATAAGGTGTCCATAGGTTCATGGATTTATCTCTGGGCTTTCTATTCTGTTCCATTGATCTATATTTCTGTCTTTGTTCCAGTACCATACTGTCTTGATGACTGTGGCTTTGTAGTAGAGTCTGAAGTCAGGCAGGTTGATTCCTCCAGTTCCATTCTTCTTTCTCAAGATTACTTTGGCTATTCGAGGTTTTTTGTATTTCCATACAAATTGTGAAATTATTCGTTCTAGTTCTGTGAAAAATA